GGGTCAGTGGGCTCCCGTGCTGTCCCAGGAGGCTCCTCCTGCGGTTGGGGGGGGGAGGGGCCTTACGGCAGCCCTCCCAGGGCTCACTGAGCCCTGCCCTCCAGGGGGCACCCTAAGATCACCTGCCAGCGGTTGTCTAGGGCCCTGGTTTCTGCCCCCTCCAGGCCCGGCACTTTCTCCAGTGCAGGGAGCAGGAAATGAGAGAAAACTGGGAGAAAATGAATCATCTGGAAAGGGAAGAGCAGAAAGGCTGAGAGAGAGAGAGACTCTGTGAGTCAGAGGCAGAGAAATGTGGCTGTTTAAAGGGCCAGCACACAGCAGGGCCAGGGCTTGGGCAGCAAGAGGAAGCTGAGAGGGCCAGGCGGGGCCCCCACCTCCACTGCCCCACAGCGCTCTTGCACGGCTGCCAACCGAGCCGGATGCAAGGCAGGCCCCAGGCAGCTCAGACCGAGGACCTAAGTGTCCTTTTCCTACGTCAAAGGATGAGGCTGAGGCCACGGCGGCCTTATGGCCTGCCGGGAGCTGCCATCTCTGCCCCGGCCATGCCTGTCCTCCCGGGACGCTGGTCCCTTGGGACTGGGTAATGGCCCATCTGGCCTTCCCGACTCACCTCCTGGGAGCTGTCTGCATTGCTCATCTGGTCGTCGATGTCAGGAACCACTTGCAAAGGCCCGCTCAGAGATGACAAGGACTGCCTGCAGGGGACAGACGAGTCGGGCTGGCCGCGGGCAGCCCTGGCCCCTGCTCCCCAGGCCCGCTGGCCAGAGCCCAGAAAGGCCAGGTCCCCACTGCTCTGAGACAGACCTGGGGGGATCACAGCTCAGCAAGTTCTTGACATGAATACCTGTTCCCAAGCCTCAGTTTTCTCATCCAATAATGGGGGAACATCTCTATGTCACAGGCTGTCAGATAATGCCAATCCCACAGTTGGTATTAACTGGCATGCAGGAGATGCTCGACCCTGAGTTCTGCCGGCACACTTCCAATCTTGCCCATGGGGAAAATCTGGAAACCTGACTCTGTCTGGCAAAGAAGCAGGCTCAACCTCAGGCTGCTTTTCCGAACGGGATGGGCAGTGCCTAAGGCCGGGCAGAACCCAGCCTTCCACCTGGCCCAGCACCTGCCCGCTTACCACGATGCGATGATGGCACTGAGGGCCTCCAGGACATCGGCCGCGGCGAGGCGCTGCTGGGGGTCAAGGACCAGCAGTTTCCGGATGAGACACACGGTGTTCTCAGAAACCCGCCCGTCCCTGATGTGGCAGAGGGAGAGGGCTCAGGCGGTGCAGGCTGGTGCTGGGTCTCTGTGACCCACGACTCCAAGTCTCACTTTGTTGTTCCCATCCCTCAAGCCTGAGGGCTGGGCCTCCCTCCCCTCCCCAGGGAGCAGGACTCACTCAGGGATGGTGTACTCGGCGGCCTTGATCTTGCGGAAGAGCTCCTGTGGGATGCTGTCGTAGAAGGGGAACTGGCCGTAAAGCATGGTGAAGAGCACCACGCCCAGGGCCCACATGTCGCTTGGCTTGCCCCGGTACGGCCGGCCTGTGGGGCACATGGACACGCACACGCTCAGCCCACAGCCGGGGAAGAGCTAAGTGCTGGGATTCCCTCAGCCTACCAGCCACCTGCCTGAAATCCCACCCATGGGACCCCTCTACCTTGTCACTCTCCCCCTCTACCTCCACGCAGGCTGATGCCCCACCTCGGAGTGACTCCCGGAAGAGAAGGGATTACATTGGGCCTTGCGAAGGCCACCCACCTGCACACCGGCCCTGCTCTGCCAGGCTGCGAGCTCCTGGGGGCTGGGCCTGGGTCTGTGGCCCCGGCGCCCAGCAAAGCAGCTCACAGAGCAGGTGGCCAGTAGTGTGCGTAGAACAAAGAGCTACCCGGATCGGGACCAGTTAGCCATCCCACCCCAATCACTATCCCCTCACCCCAAAGCACTTAGCCCAATCTGTAAGGATCCCCTCCCTCATCTTCCCCACTAGAAGGAGGTAAGTTCTCAGATGCAGGCGCCTCTCTGCTTGGCTCACCGCTGAGCCCCGGTGCCTAGCACGGACCCAAATATTTTGCTAAAGGAATGAATATCTAGTTAACTCTCTGTGCTAGTTTCCGTCCCTGCAAAATAGAAGGGAGCAGACATTTAACTGAGCATCCACGTTGTAACAACATTGGAAGAGACACTTTTATTTCATTATGTCTCCATCAAACTCCATGAATTAGATATTGTCTCTATTTTTCTAGAACAAGGCACGGGGATGTCACCTGTCCAAGGCCACACGACCGGCCACAGAAGCCCTGCTCCTCCCTCTTTCGGGGCAAGCCATCCACGCACCCACCTGTGCTCAAGCTCCTCCCGTGCCAGTCACTGCCTGACCTGTTCCCGCAAACAAAACAGAACCAAGGCCTTTCAAAGTTCCCCGCCCACCTGGTCCTTGGACAGCATTCTGTCTGGCACAGCAGCTGACTCGGCGGCAGCCCAGACCCCAGAATGTGACTCAGCCCCCCAAGGGCATGGAAGAAATGCTGCCGGGCACCTCAGTGTCACCTCCTGGGTACCAGGCAGCTCCTGGACATCCAGGATCCCTGGATGGTCCTGAAGTTGCCTGGGTGGCCACAGACACCTTTGGGATGGGAGATACTGGTTCTGAAGATCTCTCCAGGCCCGCTGAGGGTCAAGCGGCTTAACCAATGGGCGTCTATGGCACCTGTGCACACAAGTGTTGTTCCACGGGCCTCCTTCATCTAGTCTGTTCCTTCGTCTGCAAAATGGGACAGGAAGCCGGCCTCACAGGGCCACCTGGGGAGTGAGCGTCTCTTTGCCCTGGCTGGTGCGGCAGGCAGTTTTGTGGGGATGAGCCTCTGCCACGCTTTCTCCAAGGCTGTGTCACCCCGGCCCTGCCGAAGAGCAGCCTGGGTGATCTTGTGCACACAGAAGAGAAGTGGCCGACCTTGACCTCGGCTCTGAGCCCGGAGGGCAGGACATGTAAGTAACTAATCTTCCTGCTCCATCCTCTTAACCACACGGGGAGGGGAGGCGGTGATGCGTTCTGCCTTTAACCCACGAGGAGAAGGGGGCTGAAAGCCGGGTCTCTGGTCTCTGGTCCAGGGCTCTCTCTGAAGCACTGGGCTCCTGTTTTATCCTCCAAGACTGGCATGAATCCGGAAGGGCCAGAGACAGGCCACCAGCAGCTACAGGCAGTATCTGCACATGCTAGCCTGGCATCGCTGAGCAGGCCTGGCCAAGGGCCTCTTGCCCCTTCTGGGGGCCCCTTCTGCCCCCAGCCCACACAGTCACAGGCCCCACGTCACAGGCCCGGTTCATCATCCTGGCTCTGCCACCCACAGGGATGAGCTGGGGAGTCTCGAGGAGGGTGTCCGGGCTGGGCCGGTCCCCAGGGATTTGGGGTGCACCTGTGGTGCCTGGATCCCTCTAGCAGGGCCACAGTGACTCCAACCCAAAGCCCGAGGTCCTGGAGAGTGGCAGCGCTGCCCGGGAGGGGCCTGGCATTGCAGCAGAGGCCTCAGCTGGGGGAGGCCTCCAAGGTGTTGCAAATGCTCTGGCGGGTTACGGCAGCCTGCTCCCCGCAAGGACGTGATGGCCTGGGAAGGGGCAGCTCTGTCACCACGAGGAGGGGTACGTGCGTGCGTGCCGGGCATGACGGCCCCGGAGGCAACCTCGGAAACTCCATGTGGAATGGATGGGAACTGATGTGGAGCCCTTGGTTCCCTAAGGTTCAGAGATGCGATGTGGCAAAGGACGCAGGGGAAAGGAAAGAAAGCCCAGTCGGACATGGGCTTGGGCAGGAGGCAGCCCTGGGCTGGAGCCTCAGTTCTCCTGTTTACCATTAGCTCTGATTTTGGGCAAGAGATTTGATCTCTCCTAGCCTTTGCTCATCTGTAAAAAAAGGACTTGGAATATTTTCCTCACGGGGTAGCTGTGTGGCTCTAAACAGATAATGCGTGTCGTGTGCTCGGCATAGCGCCTAGCGCTTAGCAATACGATCAGGAGGCAGTCAGTACACAGCTGGCTTTTTCATTTTGTGTGTTATCTGTCTCAGCCCCATCAGAAAGTCAGCTCACCATCCGTGGCAGCAGGATGTCTGTCTGCCTGTTCAATGTTGTATCTGAAGTGTCTAGAACAGGGCCTTCTATGGGGTAGGCCCTTGATAAATACGGGCAGAAGGAAGGAAGGAAGGAAGGAAGGAACAAATGAAGAGCCAACCCAACTAAGGCAGGGACAGAACAAAGGGAAAGATGTCTTTGAAATGCAAACTCACGGTGGCACAGGGTAAAGACCTGCTCAGTGGCTGCCTTTCACACTTGAAATAGGGGATGATGTTCTCGCTCAGGCCCTGCTGGTCTGCCCCACCCCCCTCCCTCTCGGAGCAGCAGCCACACGGCCCTCCAGCTTTGCTCTGTGCTCCTCTGCCCAGTCACACCCCCTCGAGTGCTTCTGTATCCTTCCAATCACAGCTCCAATGTCACTTCCTCAGGAAAGTCCTTCAAGTACCCATTGTTCACACTCACAGAAATAAGTTTCATTCCTTCCAAGCACTGATCTCAGAGAGTAATTAACCAGGCACCGGTGTGAGGGTCACCATCTTCCTCTCTCATAAGGCCCCAAGTTTCGCACACAGAGGGACAGTACTGGTCTGGACTGCCACCGAAGCCCCGGCACCTAGCGCACCTAGCGCAGGCCTGCCCACAGACCCGCCTGGCTGAAGGAACCAACTGCTGCACACCCCGGCTGGGTGGGGGCCTCGGGGCCCGCTGCCCGGCACACCGCACGTACCGCTGAGCACATCTGGGCTGATGTAGGCGGGGCTCCCCCGCTGGTCCTTCAGCAGGTCCCCCTCACTCACAAGATGCTTCCCGAGGCAGAAGTTGGTGATGGTTATCCGATGCGTCCTGGGAGAGAGGGGCAGAGAATGAACAAACCTCCGTGTCTGTACCCGCGGGCACCTGGCTGCCCCACCTCTCATCCAGGGAACAAAGGAATCACACCCACATCTTCTTCTGCTCCCCTGGCCCCCACAGCCTTCCTACGGCGGTGTGAGCAGTGCCATCGGGGGGTGCTGACACGAGCCAGCTGCCCTTGGTTGTCACCACCTGAGCTGTCCCCTGGGCATCTGAGATCAGAGGAATGAGTCGCTCTGACCAGGTGAGTGCTCCAGAAGTACTCCCGGGAACCACTGCCCCGGCTGAGCCTGGGGGCTACAGTTTAGGACTCGGAACAATTTCAGAGATTTCCCAAAACAACCTCACGTGACATCTGGTTTGGAACGACCAGAGGTTTAGTTCAGCTCCCTCATTTATACACAAAGGAAAGTAAGTCCAGCAGGGCTCTGGAATCCACCCATGGTGCCGGCTTTGTTCCCTTTTGCTGATCCCTTTGGTCATCACCCTTGTCATTGTCAATCAGCATCACAGGCAGTACTAAAACTAATGCTTTGGAGTACTCAGCAGGGGCAGGCCCTGGCTTGCGTGTCTGCTGTGGACTGTTTGCAGTCACCCCTCATAAAAGCCTACGAGGGAGACTTCCTCTCTGTCCCATTTTCACAGATGATGCAGTTCAGGCACAGAGTAATAAAGGGGCTGGCCCAGGGTCACACGGCTAGAGAGCAGGATCCAGGCCTTGGTCTGTCTGGCTCCAGAGCCTGTACTCTGGACTGACACCAGTTGGTACCCATGTGTCCCTGACCAGTGCCCTGCCCCTGAATTTCCCTTCAGTTCCATCAAAGCTAACTCACCCCTTGTCTTGTGCTTCATACCCTCCTCTGACCTAGAAGACCACAGAACCCCCTATCTGAGAATCATGAGTGAGAGGAGCTTAGGGCTCTGATCCTTTCATGAAGCTCGCAATGTGCACAAAAGCAAGTGGCCCAGGGAGGACGCCTTACTCCACACCTTGGCTGTGGGGGTGGGGGTGGGCAGGTAGGCAGGGGAGGGCCAGTGAGGCAGGGCGCCTCGCCCCCCACAGAGGGCTCCATGTCGGTGGCTAGGCGGAGAAGCTGGAGGATGGCAGGAAGGGCAGCCCCGAGGGGTCCTCAGGCTGCCAGATGAGTCTCAAGGGTGAAGAGTGGGTCGGCTCAGAGGTATTGGCTGTGCGGACCCGAGCACGGAATTCCCCGGGAGCTGTGACCAAGAGGCTGTGCGGGCCCTTCAGCTATCTCGGGGAATTCTGCTGGCAAAAGGCTTGGTACAAAACAAAGGTTAGTCTGTCCTCTGCATTCCAAACAGAAACCTCCGACTCTTGCTCTGCATACAGGCCTGCCCTGTCAGATGCCACAGAAATCTGCCTGGTGGCTCCCAGGGGCGGCTAGAGCCTGAGCGTGTGGGCCAAGGGTCTGGCCAAGGACACCACGTCAAGAAGCGGACTGCTCCAGCTCTGGACCGCCCACGTCACTGCCCTGAACATGGGGCTGCGCTTCGGCAAGGCCCCCACGGAGAGGAAGCACTGCGTTCTTCCCCTCTGCTCAGATGGCAGCTGGAAACGCATCCTGCAGGGGATCTCTCAGGCGCAAGGCCCTGGGAGGGGACTGCTCAGGGCAGCGTCTGGTGGGCTGGGGAGTTAGATTCCCCAGTTCCAGTCCCAGCTTGGCCATTTCCTGGCTGTGAGACCTTGGGCACGTTATTTAATCTCTGATGAAGCAAACCTCAGTTTCCTCATCTGTCAAACAGAATATTAGCACCCACTTCCCAGGACCGTGTTAGGATGTGACAAGAAGACAGTCCCAGAGAAAGCATGCAGCCCCGGGCGTGGTGACTAGTATCTGAGTGCTAGCTGCCAGCTCGGATTATCCTTTCCTCCTCAGATGGTGGGCACGCCTGGCAGGGACTGGTCATGGGAGACCCCGGGAAAGACCCCATCTGAGGCGGCAGGTGAGGGGAGCCACACTGTGACCACAGGCCCCGGAGCGCAGTGCAGGCTGTGCTTCCCAGTGACTGTGCCGCAGGCCTTGATGTCCCCTGCGTGGGCCAGGCTGGTGGGGCCTGAGGACACCTTGTGCGGCGGGCAGCAGGGCCGAGCTGGCCTACGCTGCCGAGGGTCTGGAGTCTGTCCCACGGGAAGCCACATGGTCAGCTCCGAGACCTCCCGAAGCTTGGCCATGCTCCCCTGCCCTGCCCCCACCACCCAAGTCGGTGAGAGGTGCCCACATCCCTGGGAGCCCCCAGGCCCCCCAGGCTCGTCCTGGCAGGAGGGGGCGAGGGCAGCGGGAGCGAAGGGAGGCAGCTCTGCGTCAGCAGGATCTGCTCTGCGTGAGTCACTCTTTAGTTATGACCCTTCGGGCTACCAGTGTTTTTCTCCTTTTCTAGGAACTTGGTGTGCAACTTGCTTACCCAAAAAGAAAGGAGGAAGGAGAGAGAACCCACAGCAGACCTCATATAACCCCAAAAGGGGATTTCAGGTTCCAACCCTTGCCTTCTCTCCAAAGCAGGGTGAACTCGTCACTCCAGCTGCCTTGCAAACACTTCTCCCCGCTTCCTCCCCTGGGAGCGCTCCATTCTGCCAGAGCAGAGGCCTCCAGCTCCCTGGCTCCCTGGCTCCCTGCCTCTGCAGCTGGTGTCAGGGCCAGACCTGACGGCAGGCGAGGGCTGGAGCTCCTCCAGGTCGGCCTTGGACTTTGCGAGGGTGCACGCGAGAGGGGCGGGCTGTGCCCGCAGACACGCACAGGGCGGGCTGTGGCGTCCGGAGTGGGTCCCTCTGCACCAGGCGCGCCGCCCCCTCCCGGAGCACCCGTGAGAGGTAAGAGGTGGCCAGAACCTCTGTCCTTCCCAAGACCCAGGAGAGGAGGATCATTAGATTAAAGGCAATGCAGCCAAGACACAGGCTCTGAGCGGGGTACTGGCGCCCCTCAATCCGAGGAAAACACACACCGGCACGCACACACGTGCAGACCAGACAGACAGACAGACAGACAGACAGACACATATGTGGAGGAGCTGCTCTAGCTGTACTGTCGTTATTCAAGAGAGGTGTGGCCTCCCGACTACACTCCCAGAAGCGAGGGGGCCCGGAGAAGTGACGGGGGAAGCAGACCCACCAAGGACACACAGAGGCCTGGAGGACTGCTGTGGTTAGCGGCACAGGAGCCCGAGTGCGCCTTCCCACAAGCCCCTCAGGACGCTCATTTAGAGCCAGTGCACAGTCGTGTGGAAGGCTGGAGGACACAGGCTCCGCAGCCAGATGTACTTAGGTGGTCCAAAGATGTGCCCTCTCTGGGTGAGCAGTGAGCCTGTGGTCCAGAGTGGGATGGTGACCGGGCCAACACCCCACAGCAGGCCAGGGCCTCGCCGGACTCGCCACTGGTGCCCCCACCAGCCACCCGACACCCAGCAGGCCTCGTCTCCCCGGGGGGCGGGAGGAGTGAGCCGCAGGCTGTCTAGCACGGGGTGCACTTACGACGGGCCCGGCCTCATTAGGCAGTTCCACATCTGAGGCCAATCTCTACAGGGAGGTTTGGTCACCTCCACTTTCACAGATGAGGACATGGAAGCTCAGAGAAGCACTTGATCCCACAGCAGCCTCTCAATACACGGACAAATCAGTCAATAACAAACCATCAAATGAATCCCCATGGTCTCCAGGGTAACTAAGAGGGGGCGCTGGGCTCTGAGCCAGGCCTGACCCCTACGTCTGGCTCCTCCACAGCTTCCCCAACTCTCCCACCTGGCCAGGCAAGGGTTCGAGCAGCCCTAGAATTTCAGTTCCCTTCCCTCCTCCCTGTGGAGCATGACAGGGTAAGGTTTTCACTGCTTCACTTTCTCCAGCTGGCAATCTTTACTCATCCTTCACGAATTGACTCAGACGGCCAGAGTCTCTGCC